AATGTTATGTCTAATATGATTACGATGTTCTGTAATTCTGGTTTTTAAATGTCTGCCTGTCTGTCCAACGACGCATCACAATTATTACACGATATCGTATAGATTATACTGCTCTTCGATACATGGGGACAAATATCCTTCTGTATTTTTATGTATTTGCCCATTTTATTAGGACTATGAAAAGATGACCCTGATGTCGTTTTTATCGAATCGCTTAAATTTTTCCGTGTGAAGAGGAATAAATGGTATCATAAGCCAAGAAGCAGATTTGTTCGCACAGACATTGTCAATCAAATCTTTATATGTTATGAGTCTATTTTTAATTAAATTTTTTATACGTTGATTAACTGTGTCAAAAATAAAAATCAATGGGTAGTCATTATCTAATAAAATGTTAATAATAAATGTCAAATTTTGTGTATGAAATATAACGTCATATAGTAAAAGCTCTGTCAACTAGCGAAAAAATTGTCTCTTTTTTTTGTGTAATAGGATGATTTGAGTTGAAATTTAAAAACCTTCCTGAAAAAGTCGGTTTACGGTATCAATCAAGAATAAAATTATTCCTATTGATAGATATAGTAACATCCAGAAAATTTATTTTATCTCCCCTATATCTGTACTAAATTGGAGACGCGGATAAAATGAATTAAATTGTTTTAGTAAATTATCAATTTTAAAGGGAGAAACCGCGGTACAAATGTCATTTACGTATCTGTAATAAAACACAATATCCAAATTCAACGATCATCAACGACATCAAGGACACTGTCTCTAATCTCCTCATTATTAGGTCCGCTATTACAGGTGATAAAGGAGAGCCTATGGGAGTGCCTAAGCTTTGCTTATAAATTTTATTATGAAACGAAAAAAAGTGGAATCTAAAATAAACCGTATTGCTTCCAAAAACTCATCCCTAGACAGAGAGCAATCCTTGAAAATAAAATTCCATTGCTCATTCACACAATCGACTGTTATCTCCATTGGAGCATTTGTAAAAAGAGATGTAACATCTAATGAAATTAATTTATGTTTACCTGTAATGTGTAATCTTTTTAATTTTTCGACTAATTCAAAGCTATTTTTAATGTAACTATTCGCTTTAGGAATAATCTTGAATAGTATACTATACAAATATATCCAAATCTTAAAATTACATAAAGTTTTATCAGAGAAGAGTTTATTGATTATATCAATAAACACACACTTACAATTTGGGTTTAGTTTATAAATTTTATCATAATAGCATTTTTTAATTATAATTACAGAATAATGATTTATATTATAACTAAGAAATGGACTAAGACATAGTGTCTATGAATTTCAAACTTTCTATTCTACCGCATAAATTTCATATGTCTCCATATACAAAGTATATACGGATTGTTGATAATATTTTTTCAAATTCTACAATTCTTTCTTGTTTTCATAAGAAATTTTGTTAAATTCATAGATTTCTATAAATAGTCTGCCGACTTTGCCTTCATGTTTGAAGATAGGCGCTGGACAGCGCCATATTTGTGTTCACTAAATCTCACAGATAGATAAATTATATGAATAATAACGTTAGTGTTTTCATATAAATTCACGCGATACTCGCAGATGCATACATATGCATATGAAAACTTAAACAAGGACAGCTTGGAATCAGGTTTATCTCTTTCTATTACAATTTAAATAATCTATTTATATAATTAATAAATTACCATAAGAACAATATTTATCACGATTTATTATTCTATTTATATATGTCTGTGGTTAAATTATTCAATAGATCAATGAACAAACACATATAAAAGGCTAGAAAGTTTTATTAATCAAACATGAATTTTAGTGCAAAAAATTGTGCCAATGGCCATAAGCCATTTGCTTTATTGATCACAATGCTCTACCTGTTTCCCCAAAACTTCACATACGTATACATATATGTAACTATTTTATAAATATTTTTTTATTTAATCGCTAAATCTGCAAGAACGTATTTGCAATAATTTTATATTAGTCTTTATATTATATTAAATTTTTAAACATCTTTAAATATTTTCTTGTATGTGTAATGCAACATTGACTTATTTAAATTGATATTGAATTTATGGCACATACAAGTAATGCAATTATTCATAGTACACATATACTCCGTATACGGAATAGAAAGCAAAAAATGTTAGAAAATTCATGTTAATAACTCAATAGGATTAAAGCAAGAAAACTCATATAAGATTAAAGCAAGAAAACTACTATTTTATCTTTTTTATATTTATTGATATAACATATTATATTTGCATGATCTGTAATGCATGACAGGATACTGAACTAATCTAGATGCTCCTCGCAGGATGACGAGCCACCGGAAATCACGTATTGCGTTGTGGAACACACGGGTACGCTCACGCTACAAGCAATGACACCAACCTTGCCAATGCCAGCAGAGGAGGAGCTGAATAAAATGTTTCTCGAACTTGTCGATGAGTTGGACTTAACTCAAACCAATCGACAAGCAGTTTTAGCACTTCCAGCTAATAAAAAGTGGCAAATATATTGCTCCAGGAAAGGTAATGACACATTAGACAACGGAGGCTTGCGCACCACTGACCTTAGCGGCGATCCCGAAGATTATATCAATAGATTGAAAACGATAGCGAATGTGAGTAAATAAAAATGTGTAATGGAATTACTATAATGATGAAATAAACCATTTTGTTTCTTTGTATGTAAAGTATCACTTTAAACAGATTCCGATCAAATAGATTTTTGTAATAGATGAGTTTTTAAAAATATTTATTTACACCATGGAGATGTCTTTCTACAATATAAAGAAATAAATAACACAAAATATACATTTTTTTAATAAAATAATTTTGACGTTTACGTGAATGTCATTATGAAACAATGTTATTAACATGGTTTACTTCAAATTGTAATCACTTTGTCTTGGATTTTTTATTGAAATTAAAAAGATTCCATAAGGAAAGATAAGATATAAGAATCAAAATTATAAGATTGGTGAACAGCTCGTAAGAAAATTTAAAACTTGTAAAATAGCTATCGTATACTTCATAAGTTGCTTCACATTTTCGAAGTTTTTGTGTCATGTTATTGTATTATATTTATATTAATATACTACTAAAGCTTAATAATTTTTACTGGAAAAGAGTTATAAAAATTGAATTGCGAAATATTGTTGTATTTTTATCGATTTTATCGTATATATAAATATGTGACAAACCTATTGGCTATTACACAGAATCCTTTCCCGGAAGAAGATGAAGAGGTATCAAATCAAATGCGTCAAGCAGAAGCTCTAAAGACTGCCCTGAGGACGCAGCCGCATAGCTTTGTTCTCAGATTTATAGAATTAGATGGTTTAAATGCTTTATTACAAGTTCTAGAGACTATGGATATTGAAGCAGCTAATAGTAATATCAACACCAGTGTTATAGGATGTTTAAAGGCTTTAATGAATAATTCGGTGAGTTTTATCAATATAGGTAAGCATTATCCATAAAAATCGTTATTAATAACTATTTATTTTTAATTAATAAGCAGTTTATTTAATTTTTTTATACTTGCATGAGGATTGAGAACGTGAATCACTGTTCAATGATGCCTCTAATAAGGAAAACTTTGCATTGTATCACAGTTTTTCTTCTTTCAATTTTAATTAATATTTCTTTCTTTCTAGAATGGTAGAGCACATGTGTTAGCGCATCCGACGGCAATCAACACAATATCACAATCACTTGCTTCTGAGAATATAAAAACAAAAATCTCTGTCCTAGAAATTCTCGGTGCAGTTTGTCTAGTGCCAGGCGGTCACCGCAAAGTTTTAGAAGCCATGTTGCACTTCCAACGATATCATTCCGAAAGAACGCGCTTCCAATGTATAATTAATGATCTTGACAAAAATTTTGGCATCTATAAAGACAATTTATCCCTGAAAACAGCGATCATGTCATTCATCAACGCCGTGCTAAATTATGGACCTGGCCAAGTAACATTGGAGTTTAGGCTGCACTTACGATATGAGTTACTGATGCTCGGCATCCAACCTATTATCGAGAAATTAAGAAAATACGAAAATGAGACACTCGATAGGCATCTTGATTTTTTTGAGATGGTACGAAATGAAGATGAGAAAGAGCTCGCCAGAAAGTTCGAAAAGGAACATGTGGACACTAAAAGTGCTAGCGCCATGTTTGATCTTTTGCGACGAAAACTCAGCCATACTGCTGCTTATCCTCATCTTCTTAGTTTACTTGAACATTGTCTTTTATTGCCACGTGAGTTTTTGGATTGATAGATCTTACTTTTAACAAAAACATTTTACAATGCAAATTAATTTTTTTCAGTGGATTACGGTTCGCATCCTCAACATTGGTTATTATTCGATCGAATTGTTCAGCAAATTGTTTTACAGTCTGAAAGCAACGAGGGGTTAGTAAGAAATTCCGATGTGGCTCCAATAGATATAAATGTGAAAGAAATTGTTCATCTTCTCGCCAAAGAGGAGGAACTTGTGGCAGCAAGAAAAAAGGCTGAGGAGATGGAACGCGAAAATTTGGACATATCTACAAAATTGGCTAAAAAGGAGCAAGAATTAGATTTGAGAACTCAAGAAAAAGTATTATCCAAATTCCATATTTTTTCCAATAGCAATTAATGGATCTTTTATGATAATCTCCAATAATAGCAAATTTTTATTTATAAAAAGTACTCACAGGCATACTATATGCAGTCTATATACAAAAAGAATTTTATTTTCTTAGTTTAATTTACATATTTATTGAAACTATCACAACTTTTTAAATACGTTTAAAATATTGAAATCGATGTATAATAATATAAACACGAGAAAAATACATATTATTCAGACGTAAAGATATTTTTTAGATATACTGAATTCATTTTTAATGTATGTAAGTCAAATCTAATCAGTATCAGTAATATATAAAATGATAAATAACATTTCTTTTCTTTTTCTATAAATTTATTTAATATAAGATAAGTTATTCGCTATCCTTATATTTTATTCTTATTATCTTTGATATGTCATAAATTGATGTCGTATTTGAATTGTCATTTATTGCTTGATATTATTTGCTTTTTAGAACAAATAGTCATTATATATGATTATTTATTTATAGGAAGATATGGAAGCAAGTTTAGCAAGGATCAAAGAACGTCTTGAAAAAGAGACATCGATGCACATAGAGACAAAACAAAAAATTTCTGAATTGCAAGATAACCTTGAGATATTATCGCGACAAGTTAACAACGAAAAATCAGAAAGGAAACGTCTAGAACAATTAGTAGCTTCAGGAAGTTTGCCAGACGATGCAAAAGCTACTTTAAAAATTGTGGAAGATGAAGTACTCGAGAAGGTTGAGACCAAACCTACTCCGCCACCACCGCCACCTCCCCCATTAGCACCTCCGCCACCTCCTTGTTTAATGCCGGCTGCTCCTCCGCCTATGAAGGTTATTACTATATATTTAAAAGTTTATAAATTAAATATTTGTTATGTAACAGCAATAAAAAAATAATATTTAACATTTAATAATTAGTTTAAAAAACAGTACACAATTAAAAACACTTTCTAAGACTTGTTACAATCAATCACAACAGTATAATTTGTTATATATAATGTAATTTTCTTTAGCCGGATAATTTAATTCAAATTAAATGTCTTAGATGGAGATAATAAAGAATGTTCCACAGCCGAGTAATCCTTTGAAGTCATTTAACTGGTCCAAAATACCTGAGCAGAAATTACAAGGCACGATATGGTCAGAATTGGACGATTCGAAACTCTATAACGTAATGGACCTCGAGTCGATTGATAAAATCTTTTGCGCTTATCAAAAAAATGGCGTTTCTACGGAAGGCTCAATAGAGGATTTGAGAACATTAGGAAAGAATAAGAAGACAATGTCGGTAATAGATTCGAGAAGAGCGCAGAATTGCACTATATTATTGTCAAAATTGAAAATGTCTGATAATGAAATTACTAGAACGATATTATCGATGGATCAGCAGAATATTTTGCACATCGATATGGTGGAACAGTTGCTAAAGTACATACCATCCTCGGAAGAGGCTGCCTTGTTAGATATCCATCAAAAAGAATTGCAGAACAGGGCTGACTGTTTTTTATATCAAATATCAAAGTTAGTTGTATTTCTAACATTATTTAACTCTTTTATAGATCTTCCCCTCCCCTCCCTCCTTTCCTTCCTCCCCCCTTTTTCCCTCCCTCCCTCCCTCCCTCCCACCTCTCTCTCCCTCTCTTCCTTTTTCCCTCCCTCTCTCTTTCTCTCTCTAAAATTATGATAATTGTTTTCATCGATTAATTAATTTTCGAATTATTTCAAAATTTTATTCTTTCTTTAAGCAAGAACAAAACAGATCAATAAAACATAAAACGAATAAAAGTAAGATCTCTTGTTTTTAGGGTGCCTCATTATGAACAGAGATTGCGTTCTCTTCATTACAAAAAGAAATTCGCAGCTAGCATTGCGGAATTGACACCGAGGATGCGAGCAGTTTTAGAAGCGAGCCGACAAGTAGCCAGATCAAGGAGACTCAGAAAACTTTTAGAATTAGTTTTAGCATTGGGAAATTACGTGAATCGTGGAAACGCGCGGGGTAACGCGTGCGGCTTCCGATTAGCTTCTTTGAATCGTCTAGTCGATACAAAATCTTCTTGTTCCAAGGGTACAACTTTACTACATTACCTTGTACAAATTCTTGAAGCCAGATTTAAAGAAGTCCTAGAAATCGAAGAAGACATGCCGCATGTTAAAACGGCTGCTAAAGTTAGTATGGCCGATTTGCAGAAAGAAGTGGCCAACTTGAAAAACGGACTGCAGGATGTTCAAAGAGAAATAGGTAATAACGGATTATATAATGATTGAATTTTAAATAACTTGAATAAAAATTCGAATAAATGCAACTGCAAGTTTAACTTACTTAAAAGCTCATGAGTATTTTAAAACAATTAATTATGTCTATGATAATTTTTATTTTTTATGCCTTTTCTGTAAAAATGCTAATGATTATCTGAAAGATTATCTTTCAATAATGATTATTTAAAGATACTTTTAGACTATTGTTAGCATTGAAAAAAATAAATTATTATTGTAACATTTATCTTATTTTAATTTCACTCATTTTTTAGAATTTCATCGAGGTCAATCTCAGGTGCTTCAAGGAGATATGTTTTTACCAGCAATGAGAGACTTCCAGGCGCAAGCCACATGTAGATTAGCAGAGGCCGAAGACTTATTTCAAGACATGAAAACTAGAGTAAGAATAAACAATTAATGTTAATTGCGACTGTGACAAATATATCTGACTATGATATAACTAATTTTAACAAAACAGTTTGATCGAGCAGTGAGACTATTTGGTGAAGATTCGGCTGGTGTTCAACCAGATGAATTCTTTGGCATTTTTGAAAACTTTTTACAAGCCTTAGCTGAAGCAAGACAAGATGTAGAAAATATGAGAAAGAAAATCGAAGAAGAGGAACGTAGAGCAAAACAAGAACAGGAAGTAAGCAATGTATTTCATAAATTAATACATGTATAAAGGAAGAATCCATTTGACTAATTGATTACCTATAGCCATAGATAGTATAGTAAATCACTAACTTCTGAGTTGATTTAATGACAGCAACAATATATAATTATACTATGTGTGTGTGTATGTGTGTGTGTGTGTGTGTGTGTGTACGATATGTGCAAAATGATTGGAGCAGCCATTAAATGAACTCAACCGGATATCCGGTCATTTACAACATTTTAGTCAAAGTTAGCAATCTAATACTAATATAGACATCTATGCCTATATTAGTATTAGTTAACATCGTTTGCCTATATCTCATTTGCCTACAAATCGATTATTTTGTGTATATCTTATAAGACGATGATCTGGCCGTATCGATCTCCATTTACAATTTCGGGAAACGGAAGCCATTAAGTTAAGAAGAAGAAGTCTACAGTTCGATTGCCTATGAGCACTATTTTCTACTTTAAAAACACAAATTATTTTTTTATACAATTTAAATATTTGTAGGCAATCGATCTGTAGGCAATTTGTAGGCAAAAGGAGCCCTCTTGCGTATAAAACGTAAATATTATATTGCATTATAATTTTTTACAGCTCCGAAAGAGAACGATAGAGAGGAAGAACTCGCGAGAGGGTATATTAAATAGCATATCTTTAAATAAGAAGAATGAAGTAAATAGTAATGGACAACAGAATGATAACAAAGGCGAATTCGACGACTTGATATCTGCTCTTCGAACTGGTGATGTGTTCGGCGAAGATATCGCTAAATTCAAAAGGTCAAAACGAAGACCTGTTACACCTAGCAATCAAGAATCACGTAGGCATAGTACTCACAAGGAAGATTCCCGAGAACGTCACTAAAACTCCAATAGGATCAAACAGATCATTTGTCAGGATATAAGTTTTTCACATACAAAAGAATTTATTTATTAAGAATTTTACATATCGTGTTTCAATAGCACATTACACATTATAGGGGTGATCTAATTACAAATATAAATAACATTCCATAAAATAACTAAAACAAAATTAATCTGAGCTAATGAGAGTCAGCGAGAGGAAGTGCACAATAAAATTTTAACAAATAAATTTGTTACTCCATTTAATGTGTTGATGTCTTCTTTATTTAAAATCTTGAGAAATTATTGAACGTTTTGATTTTCTTTGGAATCATCATCAGCAATATTCTTAATCCATATTAAATTTCGCGAACGGTAGAGTACTCAAAGTAGAATCACTCACAAGTTGCCAAAACTGTAGTACAATCTGTAACAATGTATAATCTGTTTAAATCCATTTATACTTGAGATATTTAAAATCAACCAAAAAAGTAACGAGTAATTCACACACACGATCTCCAAATCTTATCATGAAACTTTGGATGATATTAATATTCACTTTTTAATACATTTTATGTCGAAAAAAATACAAACAAAAATATTGTATATAAAATCACCGACAAGATATTATTAAAGACCGACATCCTTATGAGAGTTCGCGTCCTTATGAATATTGAAATGATTAAGAGTTAAAAAAACTAATATTGTATTTATTTTATGATTTATTAGTTTAATAGATGTATTTATGCATTTAGAACTCAATAATACTCGATTTTTCTTTAAAATTATGATTTTAGTGTTATTGTCAAAGTTTGATTATCAACAGAGATGATAACTACAGAGAAAAAAATTGTAATTTTTTTACACGATATAGAATATTACAAGCTTTACAAGTATGCATATTTATTTATGGAATATTTATGTAATAAAAAATCATGAATTTAATCATGTATAAGCCAAATATTTATGTTAATAATAACAAATTTATATTAAATTGTCGATAATGTCAGCGTTCTTCAATTACCTCCTTGGGGCATTTTTTATACCGCCGAAAATTTACCTAGAGTTGACAGTTTTTAATAATATCTCGTCGGTAATAAAATTGAGTGCAAAGATTGCAATACAACTTGCGTAGATCAAACGAGTAGGAGACTAAGTACTAGGATTGCAGAACATCGCAATCACATAAATTGGAATATAAATAGCCAATCTGTTATCACGGATTACATTGGAATATAATCACGAATTTAATTGGGAGAATGTCAAAATACTTTACTCAAAAAGAATGTTAAACAAGCGATTAATATCTGAGAAAATACATATACGTATACAAAAAAATGGACTTAACTGGCTTTCTGAAACAGATAGATTACATCATACTTATGCATCTATGTTAAATAATTTGATATAACATTTATATTTCAAGACTGAGCAATAAATGTACTACATAATTTTATGCACAATATTAACGCGGCGTTTAAAATTTTGACTTTTTATTTTAGATTTTCTTTTTGACTCATCAATTCTTGTATTAAATATATTTGTAATTATTACAATAAGTGATTATATAATTTTACTACATAATTTTACGCATAATGTTAATGCGGCGCGTTAAATTTTGACTGATTGTTTTAGATCTTAACTCTTTAACTCTTGTATTAAATTATATTTTAAACTATTACAATAATTTTCGGGTCTTATTATATCTATGACTTGACATTATATATATTAAATATATTACATATGTTATATATGATAAAATTAGCAACTTAATACGAATATACTGTCTTTATATTTTATATTTATTATGACTTATATTTTCCGTTGATCAGACCTTTGTCTTTTTAAATGTTCGTTAGACCTATTCATCATTCCGGATGGCTTAGACGAAGTTCAATCAAATCCACATAAAATGTATTAAAAAGTGAGCTATTTCTGAATATTAATATTATCCAAAATTTCATGATGAGATTTGGCGATCGTGTGGGTAAGTTACTTTTTTGGTTAATTTTAAATATCTCAAGTATATGAATTTAAACAAATTACACTACAATTCTGACAACCTGTAAGTGACTCTACCTTGACCGTTTGCGAAATCTAATATAGATTAAGAATATTGCTGATGAAGATTCCAAAGAGAATCGAAACGTTCAATGATTTTAAATAAAGAAGACATGAAATGGAGTAACAAATTTATTTGTTAAAATTTTATTGCGCACCTCCTTTCGCGCTGACTCTCATTAGCCTAGATTAATTTTGTTTTTGTTATTTTAAAGAGAGAAAGTCTTCGGTTAACATATTTATTCCATAAAATTATTTGAAGCACTTTACAGACACGCGCGTGTAACATCACATACAAAAATCATATTATTTAATAGTACACTTCTATACATATTTAAACATATGTAAGACGTGAAATGCTCTTTTAAATTCAACTCGAAAAAACTACGCAGAAATTTATTGTCTTTAAACAGTTTATATATACATATATGTATAAGGTAAAGTTGCTTATTATGAGGTACCTTTTTTTAAAGACTTGTAATTTATTTAATTTGTAACCTAAATTTCTACCTTCATGTCAAATTTATGGGAAATATATTTAAGTTTAATTGCCAAAAGTTAGCAGTCGATGATAGCTTTGTTGTATGCAAAATTTTTTATTAAAAGTGCCGATTTTGATCATTCAGAAAAAGAGTTCCTAATATGAGGTGGTATCTCATAACAGGAAACTAAGGAAAAAATAAAGATAAGCTTTTTGTATACACTTTTAATATATTACATACAAGTAGGAACAAAGAATTTAAATGTTATACATAATAGTTATATAATTTTTCGATGTGTTGTATGTGAGTATGTGTGTGCGAATAATCTTAACAATAGAATCATCATTTTTAACATTTCGTTCGATAGTACGCTTTGAGATATTGAATTGTTTAGATGCTCTCATATTAGCTAAGAATACCCTGACTATTTCATATTACTTCCATGTTTGCAGTTTCACGATCACCAAATCTAATCTTTAACAGTTAAACAAATCCTTATATCACGTGTTTTCCTATGAACACGATCTTACTCTATCACTGCATGTAGACTTTATTATCTAATATTTATATATATAATAATATTTATATATAATAATAAAACAAGATTTAAAGACTAACCTCAATAAAATTTGACACAACATTCAATTTCACAAATCTTTTTTTTGCAAGGATTACACGCATAATTTATAATAATGAATTTTCTATTAAACAGATTTCATACTATAAGAGTAAAAAGTTCATAATAGAACCAAACACATACGCTTATTAGTTTAACACAAACTCCATTATCTTATATTAAGATCCATTCCATGATATTCGACTTTACCCTATGTATGTATGTGTGTGTGTGGGTGTGGCGTGCGTGTGATATATATATATATATATATATATATATATATATACAAGGTATTCCCTAAGTTTTTGCCACTTTTGTGTAGATAGAACGAATTAAATTGAGTCGAAAAGTCCTTTACCATTTTGTAATAGTTAACAAAATATTAATTACTAAAAATTGGCGAATATTGATCTGGAATAATTTTTTACTCAAATACTATAAACTTTACAGACAAACAACAAGAGATAAAAATTATTAATTTTCTTCTCATAGAACTCTAAGAATTTTTTCAGACTTTTTTATTAACTTTTTAGTAGTGCATTTTCTTATTTTTACCAACAGGAGAAAATACAATATTAAAGAATTTTAAAAAAATTCTCAGGACTCTATGAGAAGAAAATAAACATTTTTTGTCTCTTGCTATTTTTTTGCTAAGTTGATAATATTTGAGTAAAAAATTATTCAAAGAACTGGAAAGGATAGTAGGGGCAGTAAAAAGGACAGTCAAACTCAGAAGAGACGGCGCGCAAATAATATATCTATGAAGTGTGAAACTTCTTTATTCACTAAAAAATTATTGAAAATCAATATTTGGCGATTTTTAATAATTAATATCTCGTTAACCATTGCGAAAATTGCAAAACAGTAGTACTTTTCGACTCAGTTTAGTCTCATCTATCTATACAAAAGCGGTATAAAATATCTTGTAAAATATTCAGTTTTCCGTAATTTTGATACTTTTAGGCACGGAATAAGAGACTATTCAATTAACATTGTTGTTAAGTTTTAACAAAAGAATTATTAGTGTTTTGGAAAGCTCTCAAGATAAGCTACAAGAACATGTAATGAAAAATAGGATGTACCATTTGTGTGTGTGTGTGTGTGTGTGTGTGTGTGTGTGTGTGTGTGTGTGTTGTGTGTGTGTGTGTGTGTGTGTGTGTGTGTGTGTGTGTGTGTGTGGAAAAATCAACGTGATTTTCATATGACTTTCAAATGATTATTCAAGGTCAAACCAATGACTCCATCTTATGTATACCTCAAAATCATACAACTTTTGTCTAAAACGTTTCTTTTCAAAAATGCTCCGTTTCAGAAATAAAAGAGGTGTACGGGTGGTCTCACATACCCAGTATATGTGCGTGCGTGCGTGCGTGCGTGTGCGTGCGTGCGTGCGTGCGTGTGTGTGCGTGCGTGCGTGCGTGTGTAGAGAGAGAGAGAGAGAGAGAGACAGAAATTTTACAGAATATAAAATTCGGCAACAAAACATTTATATTTATCAAATGAAATACTTTTTATAACAATTTTCTATATAAAATTCATAGTCCTATTGTTAGATTTTCTGACAGTGATCTGTACTATTAATATACTATTAATATTATATAACATTTTTTGCAAAACTTTTTATTATATAAATATATTATCTATGAACATTTTACAGCAAACTAGAAAAAATTTTTAATTTTCATATACTATTTTTAAAGAAATTTTGTATATGAAAGACTGTTTTGATAGAAAAAAGATAATCAGATGTAAAATTAATCATTTTTGCAATAAGTTTCTACAGTAAATCAAATATAATATAATTCTGTGAATGTGTTAAATTATATTAATATTAATCTGGTTATATATATATAAATTTGCTACGTCATGATTTAATATAAATAATCTAATATGTATATATTTTTAAATTGTATAACAAAATTTAATTTAGGAAAATTTTAATAATCAAGCAAAAGGGGAAAATGTAGCAAAATACATTATATTTTCTGTAAAATTTATAATATATTTTGCTCAATCTATAACGATCAAGAATATTTACGAAATTGTGTAA